GGGGTTTCAAAATTGTAGAATAGATAAACAAGATTATACTGTATAGCACAGGGAAATATACACAAAATGTTATGGTAGCTCACAGAGAAAAAAATGTGACAATGAGTGTGTATATGTCCATGTATGACTGAAAAATTGTGCTGAACACTGGAATTTGACACAACATTGTAAAATGATTATAAATCAATAAAAAATGTTAAAAAAATAAAACTCATCAGATAAGCAGAGATGACTAGAGTCAGCCTCTTGTGTGACCTGAAATCCACAGTCTTCTTTTTAAAACATCTGAAGTATAGTAAAAATAAGCATTAAAATATGCTTGGGTCAGCCATGCATCTGGTGCTCACCATGGACGGGAGGGCAGTGGGAGACCCCAGCTGAACCAAGAGCTGGGACTTTGGCCTTGGTGGAGGGCCAGACCGTGGCTGAAAGTCTGAAAACCTATCCCTCTACCCCTCACCTGTCCAAGGCTCCCCGTCAATGGGAGGAGTTCCATGGAAGGGCACTGGCTGGAGCCTTGGAACTTTCTCAGGCCAGGCTGCCTCTCCTCGGGGTCTTTCCGCCACCCTGCAGGCTCTGGGGAGCTTCAGCACTGCCCAGATCCTTCCCTCACTTCTGGGACTCAAGAGGGGCTGCCCTGTGTCTGGGAAAAGACCTAATTGATTTCTCATAATTTTTTTCATTGTATGTCTCCTCCCCTTGATCACCAAAGAAAACCTGCTCAATATAGATAATTCGGAGAAAAATTTTTAAGTAGGGGAGGGTGTAGCTCAGTAGCAGAGTATGTGCTTAGCATTTATGAGGTCCTGGGTTCAATCCCCAGTACCGCCATTAAAATAAATAAATAAACCTAATCACTTCTCCCCCTCATCTCCTCAAAAAAAGAGAAAAAAAACCTTAAAAAATTTTATAAGTAAAGCAGCCAAGAAAAAGCAAAATGTCACCCATACTTTGAGGCAATCACTGTTACCATTTTAACTTATCTCCCCCCTTTAGAGTCTCTATTTCTTGACATAACTAGGAAAATATCATAAGTAATTATAATACACTGTTTAACAGTATATTGTAAACATTCCCCAGGCCATCAAAAGCTCTTCACCAACATAACTTTTAACTAATGCACAGTGTATCATAATTTATTTAAATTATTGGATATTTGGAGTTTACTTCTTTTTTCTGGTACATTAAGCATGGCGATAAATACCCTTGTAGATAAACTGTGTCCACATTTCAGCTTTTTTTTTTTTTTTAGGGCAGAGTCCTGGAAATATCATTGCTGCTTAGAAAAATGTGAAAAATTTTCCAACTCACCATAAGTAATGCCAAAGAAACTTCCAGAAAGCTTGCAGGAGTTTCCTCCCTGCTACCCGCGCATCTCCTGCATTGACTATCACTGTGTTTGAAATCTTTTTGTTAGTGGATATTTACAATAGGCCATCTCTTGGTTTTAACTGCATTTCTTAGATTATGGCTGAGGTAGATATGTTTTCTCTGTTTACTTCTTGTGGACATTTCCTCCTTCATGAATGTTCTATTCTCACATAAAAGGATTTCCTCTTTTTGAACAAGGTTAGTCAACTGCTCCTTTTCTATGTTGTTCCAACAAACTAGGACATCAACCCAACTGGAGCACCAAGGCTGACCTCCAGACTACACCAGCCCTTCAGACTATCCTGAAGAAACAGTATCTGGTTTCATGATTGATGAAGGATCTGGCAATTTATGTAGAAATAAGTTATGCACCAATGGATTTCTGTCAGCCTGTGAAATAAATCTGGAGGAAGTCCATGTATATCTTTAACCCAGGAACTAGTGATAAAGGCTTATCACAGCCAATCTCTCTTGGCTTGCCGCCAGCCTAGGGGTGGGTAACGTGAACCTTGAAAACAGGCATTTTCTTTTCATCTTAAGCCTTGACATCCCAGGCTTGTCACTGGCACTCATAGTTATTTGATGAGATTAGAGACTGAGTAAAATGAGACGGGTTGAGGAGTTCTGAGTTCTTATTGTCCAAACACCTGAAACTCCATTTGATTGTCTCATGAGAGAGGCCATCTCTTGCCTCCCCTTCCCCAACATCACCGTTTCCCAACAGACCCAAACAAGCCCAGTTGTTTCTGTCTCATGTCGGGTTGGACAAGAACTGTCAAGAAGAAGCCCATGGACTGGAACACTTAAGAATCATGCGGGGGCAAATTAAATATGTACCTGATTATACAAAAATCTAAAAATCTTACCTGCAAGGAGTCCTGTGGCTGTTGGGGGACACAATCGTAGTGAAGAGTTTGCATTCTTCATGGGAGGGCTATTACCCCCAACAGGACAAAAACTGGTTCTTGGAGGGGCAAAAAAATCTGAGATAGTACAGTGGTTAGTGGCCTTTAAAGATCTTTGTGGGATGGTATAGCTCAGTGGTAGAGTGCTTGCTTAGCATGCACAAGGTCATGGGTTCAATCCCTAGTACCTCCACTTAAAAAAAGACAAAAAAATAGACAAAGACCACTGTTCACAGTACATGAACAGATACACAGTATATCTGTGGTATTAAAAGGTTGTTGGGAGGCTGGGGATGTGACAAGAAAAAATATGTAAATATATTAAGGCCTCTTTGAGTGGGTGGCAATGGAAAAAGTTTGAGAAATTCTGTTCTAAAGCAACTGCCCTAAATGCCTAGACTCAAGGCCCCATTTAGGCTGAGATTTAATAAAGACAAGGAGACAGGAAGTTTTTTTTCTTTAATATTATAAACCAGACCACATCAATCCCTTCCTCCAAGTCCTGCAGTGATTCCTCTACTGACTTAAAAATAAAAGCCTAAATTCTCAGTGTGGCCTCCAGGACTGCCTCATCTTTCAGGTTCACGCCTGGCCATCACTCAGCTCGTCCTAGCTCTCTGGGACCTCAGGGGGCTTGTATAGGCTGTTTCCTTCTCCAGAGCCTGGCTAACTCCTTCTCCTTCTCCTTCAGTCTACACCCAGTTGTTCTCTCTCAATGACACATTTATTTGTGTGTATTTATTCTCTGTGTGTCTCTCTTGCTCCATAAGCTCCAAGAGGGTAGAGATCACATCTGTTGTGTTCACTCTAGCACTGTGTCTGGCACATAGTAGAAACTCAATGAATGATAATTGAATACATGGATTAGATTTCAAAAAGCCTACATTAAGCACCAGGTACAATCCTTGGCCTCCAGAACTCTGCAAACCCTCCCTGACCAGTGTTCATTACTCTTACCAGCACACTCAGGGAATGGCTCCGACTAGATGTGCTCCTGCTGGTGTTTATCCAAGAGTGGGCTTTGCTTCCCCAAGATGTCAGCCTATTCTATTTGCTAAATAAGGACCATGTTTGTTTCCTCCACCATAAACCACAGGTTTAAAAACTTCTTATGCAAAAGTTTGCATGAGATGCAAGCAGGCTTTGGGCATAGCTAGTCGCACTTGTTATAATCCTAAGGGGAAATCTGTGAGGATAGAAGGAATCCAAAGGGACGTGAAGTTGGAGGAGGGGAGAAGTCAAGGGGATTGTTCTTTGTTTGTGAGAATGACATCTTGTGTCATCAGAAATACGTGAAAAGCTTTTCTTCTCTTTTCTTCCTGAACAATTCAACTCTAAAGCCATCACATGGATCAGAGCAAGGTAGGTGTCTACGTGGAGGGGTGGTCTGAAATGGGGTGTCAGGGCCCAAGTCGGGTGTGGAGAGTGTCCCTGCGGGGAGGATGGGTTACATGCAGGGGGACTGATCAAATAAGCAAATATACTAAGGATGAGGGGAGGCAGATTTCTAATTGTCAGAGAAGGGAGTTAAATATGAAAAGGGAAAAAAGGGGGATGAACCCTGTGGTGTTGGATTGGAACTGGAGTTGGTGTGTGAACGTGTGTGCAAGTTTATCTTGTGAGTGATCCAGAGGTTTTCAGTATGATCTATAGATATAGAAATAAAGATGTAAGAGTGTGTGTGTCTATGCATATTCACAAATTCCCTGCCTCTGATCACTGAGAGGACTTGAAAGCAGAAAAACCCAGTAGCAATGAGTACCTCACCCCTAGATCTTGGCTTCTGAATATCATTCTCCACTAAAATGAACCAGGACACTCGGAGAAATAGCTGCTCCCAGGACAGCTGCAGGGAAATGATGAGCATAGAATACCTGGTTTTGCCAAAAGGCAAAGGTGTGCTTAAAGAATGTTAAAGGACACAGAAGCCAAAAGGTTTGCACTGGCAAATCTAGTACAAATTAACCATCAAAATAAACAGAGTATAATCCATTGGAAAAAATGAGAATTTATAAATCCATAATGGAACAAAAAATAATTGAAAGTTTGATGGGGAATAAAATATTTACATAGTTTCAAAATACTTCCCCCTAAAATGCTTGTTAATTACAAAGGGGAAATGAGTAATTTTACAGTGGAGAAGCCTGGCGGATATCATTTTAATCAAGGGATCAAAGAGGACATCACAAATCAAAATCGCACACCACCTGATGGGATGCCATGCGCAGGACACAGCATCGTTTCTGTGATAATGCTGCCAGAGGTGCATAAGCCAGAACATGTAACATCAGAAAAACCCAAATCAAGGGAAAACCTACAAAGAACTGGTCTGTAATCTTCAAAATAGTTAAGGTTTTAAAAATTGTGTATCACTACATTGTGCATCTGCAACTTATATAATATTGTACATAAACCATACATCAATAAAAAATATAAAGAAAAAACTAGTCAAGTGATTGTTAACCTGAAGCAGGTCCATGACTCTGTGCTCACCTTGAAAGATATCTGGACCCAAAACACTGACCATCAACCAAGACATCAACCAAGAAGGCAAGGTCTGGCTCTCTTCTTGGAGGCAGCTTCTACCAGCTTATCCATGTTGTTTATTGAAAAGTATAGATTTGTGGTCTGTGTCTGGTTTACCAAATTAGACAGCCTGGTTTTGGCTGTGACCAATGGGATATAAAAGACCCCACAGCAAACTTGTGCTTCCCTGAGATGGAGATATCTCACATTCATCTTCATGGTGTGTGATGCAGGGAGGACTCACGTCCTGGGGACCAAGAGAGGACCCTGGGAGATGTGCCTGGGGGCCCCTGAGTCTTCCCGATGTTTGCCTGTATTTTCTTCCTTCTGCTGCAGTGTGTACTTTGTCTTATGAAAGCCTCAGTTAAGTGCGCTTTGTGGCATCTTATTAGTTCTTCCAGTTATAACACCCTGTGTAATTGCTGGAGTCATGAAAGACAAAGAGTGAAGGGCCAGTTCCAGCCTGAAAGAGACACAGCAGCTAAATGCCACTTGTGATTCTGAACCCCATCCTCACGCTCTATAGGACGTTGTTGGGGAGGACTGGCGAAATTTGAATGAGGTCTGAGAATGACATGGTAGTCACACAGCAAAATTAACTTTCTGATTGTGATGGTTATATTGTGATTATATAGGCGAATATCCTTGTTTGGAGGAAATACACATTAAAGTATTTGAAAAAGATTTCAACAACTTTCTCCATATTTTCAGGGAAAAAAAGTTCTTTGTCCAGCACTAGCCCTTTTGCAAGTTTGAGACTGTTCCAAATCACACTCACACATACACACACATATGCACACATACATATATACAACTTAAAAATAAACAATAAAAGCAAAACAAAATACAGGACTATTTTGCTGAGCTTAAGAGAGCTTCCTGTATTGTGGACATCAGCACAGGACATCGATATAGTTTTTCAGTTTGTGCAAGCTCTTCCTCGCTCCTGGGAGGGAGTCCTGACAGAACCAGCTAGATCAAACCCAAGCAGCAAACTGTTGTGAGAAAGAATGGCTTGCTGTTAATTACTATAAAAATTGAAGTCATTTTTAGTAAATGGTCTCCAAAATTCAGTTGGTTCATATCCAGTAACAACATACTCTAGTTTTATAACTAATTGTTCCTGACAAGGTCAAAAGGAGCTATGTTACCTAATCTAGAATTTCATTTGGCATTACTGGGATTTTTCTATCACCAAGACAAGCAAAATCTGATTTAAAAAATGCCCAGGACAGACCATCACAGTGGTTCTCTTGGTCATATTAGGGGAGGGCACTTCTCCAATTTCCTTTCCACGTACTTGAGGGCCTCAGGCAACATCTCAGAGCGCCTGCAAACAGGCTTGGGACTGGATTATTGACAAATACTTTTCGCAGCACCTGGGATACCTGGGCCTACATCCGTTCTATGGGATGAGCGCAGGTCAAGAGCAAAGGGAGGAGCCTTCCCGACAGAGGGAACAGCCTCGTGGTGGCCAGGCTGACCACAGGGAGGTGTGCAGGGACCAGATCCTGAGGGCCTTGTAAGATTTCAATTTTTATCCTCAGTGCAAAAGAGAGCCAAGGGAGGATTCCGAGCAGAGGAATAACGTGATTCTACTTACATGACAAGCCTTTCACACCAGCGGCTGTGTAGGGATACAGTGGAGAGTGGGAGGATCTGAGGCTCTTGTAATTGTCCAGACAAGGGATGATGGTGGCTAGGACAAGAGGGTGGCCACGAGGGTGGAGAGAGAGGGACAGATTCAAAATATATTTTGGAGGCAAATCTGATAGGACTTGCCAAGGAATATATCCTGGAGCTATGTGAGTCTAGCTTTTGTCCACAGCTCAGGGTTGACACAGGCTGTTCACGGGGGAGTGGGCTGGAGTCGGGGGGGGGTTATTTTTAAGAGATGGAAACACAGTCCATCCACACAGGCCCCTGGGAACAGATGGATTCAGCTGTGGGATCAAGCTGGACTCAGAGAGCTCTCTGGCCCCTGCTCCCCAAAACTAAGGGTCTTCACTGAGCCCGTGTTGCTGAGAAATGCTTCAAGCAGGCATATCAAGTCCCCTCCGCACTTATTTTGGAAACGTTGTCACAGACATCATTGCTACCTTACTCAGTGACCTCCCTAAGGAGACTCAGGAGAGAACTGTCTTCTAGTAGTAGTTGCTGAGAAAAGTTTTGCCTTCTTCAAGGAACTGGTATTCCTATTCTTCTCTGAAAAAGAAGTCGTTTAGGGGGTCTCCCCTTCTACTGCCAGAAGTTCAGAGCCAAAATCAGCGCCCACCAGGCAACCACATGGGCCTGTCTTTGTTTCAAACTGCGGCACCTCCTCTCCCCAAACCACCACCCCACTTCTCTGCCGGGCTTCACTTCAACTCACGGTCCGATTTTTCCCGGCCCACAATTTATTCTTATTTCCGTGGCACCACACGCTGTGGGAAGCGAAGCCGCGAAGACGGAGGCGGGCAGGCACGCTGGGCGGCGGGGCGCTGCTCTCACCCGCCCCCGGCGCCTTAGCAGCGGCTGGAGGACCCGCGCGCAGTTGTCTCTCCGGAACCGCAGCCTGCTGCCCGTCCCCGCCCCGCACTGTACCCTGAGGCCCCTCACCTCCTCTCCAGCGCCTCGATGGTTTCCACAAGCGGCACGTTGCGGGTCTCAGCCAGGAAGCAGACGGCCAGCCCGGCCAGGATCGAGGTGGCCCCGAAGCCCACGGGCGGCAGGACAGCGCTGAACTCCCCGAGCATGGTGACCAGGGGCGCCGCCAGGCCACCGAGGCGCGCGTTGACAGAGACGAAGCCCATCCCCAGCTGCCTGTTGGAATAGTGTGGCCGGGTCAGTGGCCGTGGTCTGGACCCCCAAGGGGCTGGAAGGGCCAGGTCCTGAGTGTCAGGGGCAGAGCAGGACGGAGATGGGGATCCTGCTTCCGCAGCCCGGCGGGCGTCAGCCTGGAGCGAGGGTGTCCCATTTCGGGGCAGGCGCTCCTCTGACTCCGGCCCCGCACCCACCTGATCTCCGTGGGGTACAACTCTCCCGTGAACAGGTACACGCAGATGAAGGAGCTGGCCAGGCAGCCTTTGCCCAGGGCCGCCTGGGCGGTGCGCAGGGTCTGCATATCTGCGGGGAGGGAGAGGCGGAGCTGTGGGGGGAGCCCCGAGCCGCAAATGGGAGCACGGGGGCGGGGGTGGGGGTTTGGGAGGGACTCAGGAGGGGACAGGGTGAGACTCAGAGCCTGAAGATGCTAAAGATGGAGGAGGGAGGCAGAGCCATGGCAGGGTTGGAGCGGGGCACGGAATCTGGAAAGGGAGGATCCGGGTTTCCACCACCTGGAATCCAGAAGTCCCCACACAGTCCTTCTCTGATCTCTGCTTCTTTCCTCCCCTATTTCCATCTGTCACCAAGTCTTGCTGGGGAGGCAGGACAAACTGTGCAGTTAGGCCTGGGTTCAAATCCTAGCCCTGATGCAGCTGGGTGACCTCAGTCACTGTGACTTAACCTCTCTGAGCCTCCCTGTCCTCATCTGTAAAATGAGGAAGATACCTGCACCTGCTTCATGGGCTTGTCAGAAGGTTGATATGATGTCGTAAGACCAAAGTGCTCAGTGTCATTGAGGGTTTGCTGTTACCATCATTATTTGCCCACTCATCCTATTGTGGGTTATAAACAGCAACATTCCAGTGCACACACCCAACATCTGGGCAATGGTCAAAGAGATTATGGCCCATCCTCTGGATCTGGTGGCAGCTCTGGCTGCAGACTGGAATCAGGAGGGGAGATTTTATAAAACACCCAGCCCTGGGCCCTGCTTCATCTTTATTACATCAAAGCCTCTTGGGAATGGGCTGAAGTTTGGGAATTTTTTTAAAGATCCCCAGGAGAGTCTAACGTGCAGCTAGAGTTGAAAACATCAATCAGGTGAAATATTAAATAGTATAAAAAATTAGGGTCTTGAAACATCTATACTAACATGGGAAAGCAGATTTATGCTACAACATATAGTGAAAAAGGATACTATATATAAAAATACATCTACGCATCTATACATATATAATCCTATTTATATTATTGTGTGTACATATATAAAATATCTCAATTCTGTCAAGTATAAAACCTGTAAATAGGAAAAAAGATTAGAAGAAAAACATACCAAAATACCAATAGTAATAGTCTATCCATGTTACAGGGGAGGAATAGAAGGACAGAGCGATCAGACAACCTGTCCAAGGCCATGGTGGCAGGACTGGGGTCACAGCTGGGCACATGCTCAGGGCTCTGATATGCAATCCTGGCTCCTTGCTGCAATCACCTGACAATTTTTAAATACTGAGGTTTGGGTCCCAGTCTTTGAGATGAATTGCATTGGCCCGGAGCCCATGGGCTTTGGGAGTTTTCAAAGGTCTCCAGGTGGTGATGGTTACAGCCTGCTTTGCAAACCACCATTCCAGAGACAGCGGCTGAGGTTCAAACACTAACTTCTCGACCCTTGAGATGCTGCCTGGGCCAGGCTCCAGATGGACACACACCAGCCAGCCCTTTGCCTCTCCATCTGTGTTTATGCATCAGTCTAATCTCCCTGACAAGACAGTAAATGCCCTGAAAGCAAAGACTCATGTCCTTTGCAGGGTCTCCCCCGTGACACTGCTACTAGGTTCTAAGTGATAAATAGAAGCTCTATCAGTCAACAGTCACCTTCTTTCCAGATCCAGAAGGCTAGCCCTCAGCCTTGTTCCCCCGTAGTGTTTGTTGCCCACCAGACCCCACACACCAGAGGCTCCCGGGTGGTAACAGCAGAAGCGTGTGGCTCACCTTCCGGCACAAACATGTTTGCGATCACCATGAGTCCGGCCAGGATGAGGAAGGAAGCCACTGTGGCCCGGCGGCCGACATAAATCATGGTGGTGGTGGCCACCAGCATGGCCGGGATGTCTATGACCCCGAACAGGACCTGCACCAGGTATACGCTGAGCCCAAACTTCTGCAGGTCCATGGCCAGGCCGTAGTAAGCCAGGGAGTTGGAGAACCTGGGCGAGGCGGCGAAAAGGTTCTGCTTCACCCCAGGGCTCACTGTTCCAGACCCGGGGGTGGGCACACAAGGATGAATGACACAGAGCTCCTCTCTCCCTGACTTTGCACAACACCCTCTCCTGGTCTCAGAGTCTGCTTCTGGCCTTTAGGGCCCAGGCCCCTCAACCCACCTGCTCCCCAGAGTCCAGTTCGTGGGCTCTGGGGTGTGTGTTTTCCCTCGTCACACTCCAGCCCTGCCACCTCCAGCCTTCAGTGCGGACCTGGGCATCACCTCAAGAACTGGAGGGAGAAAATGAGAACCTTCCAGTAGGGCCGTCCCTAGGACCCTCACCACGTCTCCCAGTGTTCACTGAGAATCAGCCCCTGAAAGTGGCTGCTTCTGCTGAAGGGGGTGACAGTCAAACTGACTGCAGAGGCCTGGAGCTCCCACACTGGGGGCCTCCACAGAAATGTAAAAGGGGAGGAAGTGTCTCAAAGAGATATTTGTGCATCCATAATCACAGCAGCCCTGCTCACAATCGCCAAAATGTGGAAGCAATCCAAGTGTCCATCATCAAATGAACAGCTAAACAAGACGTAATATGTAACAGTGGGCTACACAGGAGTTACTCAGCCTTGGGAAGGCTGTCTGTCATCTGCTGCAACGTGGGTGAGCCTTGAGGACGTTACACTAAGTGAAAGAAGCCAATCACAAAAAGATCAATACCGTACGATTCCACTTATGGGAGGTTCCTAGAGTAGTCAAGTTCATAGACACAGAAGGTAGAGTGACGGTTGCCAGAGGCTGAGGGGAGATGGGGATAGGGAGGCATTGTTTAATAGGTACAGAGTTTCAGGGTTTTTTTTTAATGTTTTTAAAAATTAGTTAATTAATTAATTTTTAAAACATTTGCTGAGCTCTGCTCTATTTTATTTTATTTTTTGGAGGGGGGAGGTAATTAGGTTTGCCTATTTGATTATTATTATTATTATTATTATTATTATTATTATTATTTTTAATGGAGGTACTAGGGATTAAACCTAGGACCTCATGCTCGCCAGGCATGCGCTCTACCACTTGAGCTATACCCTCTCCCACAGAGTTTCAGTTTTGCAAGATGCAAAGGGTTCTGGTGACGGTTGGTGGTGAAGGCACTTAACACTACTGAACTACACGGTTACAAATGGTTAAGATGCTACAGTTTATGTTATGTGTATTTTACCACACTTAATAAAAGCAAAGCAAAACAAAACAGAACAAATGTCCCTGAGGGAGGGGCTTGGGATGGGCCCTCTTGAACTCGTCCGGGTCTTTTTTGTTTGCAGGACAAGCTGGCACAGAGAGATCCAGGAACGTGTCGGGAGGGCAAGTGGAAAATTAGAATATGGCAGTGGGCTCTCTCCAAGCAGGGCCCAGCATCTGAGACACTCCTACTGGGCCTCCCAGCCGTCCCAGCAGCGCAAGTCAGTGGAGATGGGGAAAAAGAAAGAAACGTCTGGAAAAGGAAGCAATAATTCTTGTTGGCCCGAGGCAGGCCTGAGGGCATCAAGGAAGAACCAGGGTCTGATTTCACCACTTGGCTCCTCCCAGGTGGGGAGGAGAGGCAAGACCCCAAACATATTATTCTGAACAAACTCAGGTGAAATACTTATGGCCCTTAATACTACAGGGGAGGCAGTGCGAAGTGGGCTTCATTTGGTCTGCAGTTGTTATCCCTGAGAATAAATAATCCAACCTTGGAAAGACGGTTCTGCTTCACTGATCTCCTTACTCTGCCTGGACCGCCCTCTTAGAGATGCTCTTTTCTCCCACACTTGTCCTCCACTGACCATTCCCTTCTGGACGGTTCCTCTTGCCTCAGCTTCCCTGACACGGCTCCCTCACCGCCTGGGTGATTCTAATAGGTGTTTGCACTCCAATGAGACCCACTGCCCAGATAGGTCAGCATAGGTGCCTCATGTGTGACCACATCTCAGGATCCTGCAAGGGGCTGGAGTACCCTCCATGCTCAGAAGACACTGGAGAAATGGTGTGAAACAGAATTGAATTCACAAGGCTCTCCTGCTCATTGCATTAAGCACATATTTAAGAGTTTCTCAGTGAGGACAAGGCTTCCCTGCCTTGGGTCAAAGCCCTGGGCATGAGGGCATCACCTACCAGACCACCATGAGACAGCACGTGACCTTACGGATGGCTGGGGTTCGGAAAAGATCCAAGACCGAGTTGGAGGTGCGAACACTTGCAAACTCACTCTGGATGTAGGAGCTCACCACCTGGGCAAGGAGAGTTTGATCAGTGGAAGGGAGGGATCTGGTATCCTGTTTCCCTGCTGGGTATCCCTTCATCTGTGGAGAGGAGGGCCAGGGGTGAGATCCCTGGCAGGATGGTTGGCCTTAGTCTCCTCTCCATCCTGGGACTGATGGCCCTGCACAGGCTGTTTCCAGGGCTTCGAGATTAAGCAGAGACTCCAATGTGGGTCCCAAGGCTCCACGGCTGCCTTCTGATTAGGCTGAAATAACCACCCGTGGTTCCATTCCTGGTATCGACTCTGAGAGTCTCAGCCAACAGTTAAGAGCAAGGGTTCCAGGGGGAAGGGTACAGCTCAGTGGCAGAGAGCGTGCTTAGCAGGCACGAGGTCCTGGGTTCAATCCCCAGTACTTCCACTTAAAAAATAAATAAACCTAAATACCTCCCCCCAAAATAAAAATAAAATTAAAAAAAGAGCAAGGGTTCCAAGTGGTTCTGCCACTTCCTGCTGTCCGTTCTTAGGCAAATTACCTAAGTTATTGGTTCCCTGTCTGTTCCCTTCTGTGTTAGGTAACTTGATCCTCCAAACTTTAGTTTCCTCAAGGGCAAAAATGAGGCATTAAATGAGATTGTGTACATAAAGCCCTTAGCATAATGCCTACCATGGGGCTCAGTAAAGATACTTACTACTAATAAACGGGAACTGTCTTATAATAAATGGTACGTTTATTTTTGATTCTTTGATAATTTCATTTTATGACTTTTTAATTTTATTGTATTATTTTGTTTATAATTCAGCTGAATGTGAATGGATTTTTTTCCCCACTGCACGGATGGATAGAATGATGAACAAAGCAGTTAAATTATTTACCCTAGATCACGCAGCCATTCAGTGGCTGAACATCTTTACCACACTGGAATGCTTCCCACTCTATTTATTCCCAGCCTTTTCACCTGGATGTCACGTGAGTCCTGGGAAGCTACGAAACTCTAATATGTCTCGAGGCCACCAGCAAGGCTGAAACCCATTGCTACCCTTGCTCCCACCTGTCCTGCCTACCTCCTTGGTCAGCCTCTCCCCTTCCTCCTTTCTCCCGTTCATCACAGCCACCCTCCGCAGGTTCTGCGTTGCTAGCTGGGACTTGCCATGAAGGAGGAGCCATCTGGATGACTCTGGCAGCCACCTGGGGCCAAGAGAAGGATGAAGAATGACCCAGGGCAGAGTGGCACTCATTCTGTTCCCCCAACCCAAGTATACCTTCGTTCCCCTGTCAGACCCTGGGAAAGGTGAAACATCCTGCTGTCAGCAGATTCAGGAAAATTGGGGGACACTCGGCTTCCCTTTTTTGCAGCACTTCATTCAGGGGATCTCCAAAGGGTACTTAGATGACACGGGACTTGGGATTTCCACAGATTCGTTTTTGAACCTGGGTCTGACCCCAGTGGGTGGCCTTAAGTAAGTCATGGGCCCACCTGGGCTGTGCCTCAGCTCCCCTCCTAATAAAATGTCCCTGGTGTTGTTGTGAGGCACAAAGAATTGATGAAGGCAGAGCACTTGGGATGTTCTGGACCCTGCATGAACATAAAGGATGCTACCATGTGGAGTATTTGTGAGCCTCCAGGAGCACAGCCTCCTTCCATGCCCAGCAAGTCCCAGTCACTCCAAGCCTTCCAAAGGGACAGATGACAGCTCGGCCACACAGGTGCACCCTCCCCCACCCCATCTCTGCTCAGGACATACCAAGAATAGAGGAAAAAGATGAGGAAAGGAACAGAGACAGCCAACTGCAGCCACCGCCAGGGGCGGATCAGGTATGCCGCTCCGGCCAGGATGAGCTGACCCAAGGTGAAGGAGTAGCCCAGCAGGACCCCTGCCACGGTCCGGCCCCGGGTGGGCATCCACTCCACGACTGGGGAGAAAACCACAACAGGTACAGTGAGACGCATTGCTCATGGGGTTAACGCACCTGCCCCTGTATAATGACTCTGTGGCCACCTGGATCACTCCAGAGACCCTCTGGACACAGGCGAAGCTGGCCCGACCTCAGTCCTCACACTCAGGTAAACTCCAGGTGGACCAAAGCAGTAAATGCAAACAATGAAACCACAACAGTATTAGAAGAAATTGTGGTAGTCTGTTTTTTTCTTTTTCAATCTCAAGCGTCAGGAAAGGCTTTTCAGAGAATGTCACAAAACCCAGAAGCGACAAAAGGAAAGACCAGCAAACTTGACTTCATAAAAATAAGAAGTATCTGCATTAAAAAAAATACCCACCATAAGCAAAGTCATAACATCAGCATAAAAAGACACAGAAAAAAAAATGCAACTCAAATCACAGTTCTTTAACAAATTTCCCTAATAGTGGAAGAGTTCTTACAAATTGGTAGCTCAACAAGCCAAAAGAAAAATGGGCAAAGGATGTGAACATCCCTTGGTAGAAAAGGAAATATAACAGCTCTTAATTACGTGATTTTTTGCAAGTGGCAAAACTTGGAAATAACCTAAATGTCCATCCATGAGGGATGGGTTACATGAAGCTTGGCACACTCTTACAGGGCAGCCAAGATAAATTGAGGAGGATGCTTCTCTCCAGTGAACAGCCAGCTCGTGTGTTCAGTCCATCTGCAAATCCTGTTGCTTCTACCTGCAGGATTGAGCCAGCCCTTTCTGCTTCCTCTACTGCTAAGGGCCTGTCCCACATCACCCTGACCTGTCACCCGCCCCAGCTCTGCTCCAGCCACAAAGACCTCCTCACTCTTGAGCCCATCACACTGCCCTCCTCACCTCCCTCAAGCTTTGCTCGAAGTGACCCCTTCTTGCCAAAGCTGTCCCTGAGCCAACAAAACTGCAGACTCTCCCTTCCTGCTCAGCCGTTCTCATTGCCCTCTTGGGCTTTCGTTTTCCTCCGTAGCACTTGTCACCTCCTAATACACTATATTACTCGCCTATTTGTTTCTTATCTGTCTTCCTGCACAAGAACAGGGGCTCCTCAGAGCAGGATCTGATTTGTTCACTGCTGCCTCTCCCGTGCCTAGAACTGTGCCCGGCACGCAGTTGTGTGTGTGTGTAGGGGGTGTGTGTAGGGGTGCATGTACATGAGTATGCATGTGTGTGTGTGTGTGTGTGTGTGTGCAGATGTGTGTGTTATAGAGATGATTCTAGCAGGAAATGGACCTTGGATGACAGTTTCTGCCTTCAGATTCTATGAGCCGTGGCTGGATGCTCACTTCGAAGAATGAGGCAGGTGGTCTGGGATTTCCTGAGATCCCACGTGACCTCAGCGCCCTTCGATGGCCTCATGTAGGGAGGGGAGGTGTCCAGTGTGCCAGACTGGTGCCTCCTGGTTCTCCAGCCCCAAGGGTCCCCCAACTCCCGGGATGAAAGGCCCATCCTCAGCAGCAGAGTCCGATCCCTCAGACTTCCCCTGTGGTATCCTCAGGAGCAAACCAAGTAATCAGAGGGACACGCAGGCAGATGGCAGGCCTATGTCCAGGGTGGCCTTCCCCTGCCCATGGTACTCTCTGCCAGAGCTACCAGGAGCTGCCTGGAACCAGCTTGGAGTGAGGGCTGACCTTGTCACTTTGGAGGTGGGGACATTCCCACCTGGCACCCCGGAGGCCAGGTCTCCATACAGGACCAAGGGGAAACTCCACCCCTTTGGAACCACATCATCTCAGGGCTGCCTGCCCCCTCGGGTGGCCACTGTGTCCCCCGCAGAGAGCACCCCAACCAAGCCTGGCACACAGTAGGCCCTCAGTAGGTGGTTATTGCTGACTGACTCACACAGGAATGAACCCAGCCCTCTCAGCTGGCAGACAGGCAAACTGCCACCCAGAGTCCGTGGCTCCCTGGGAGCCCAGGCCTCCCGAGAACCCTGGTGGGAGGCTCTGAGTTGAGGTCCCAACACAATGAAACAGGAAAGACATCTGACAAAGGGACTGCCATCCCCTCTTCCGAGAGCCCCCTCCCCTCCAGGGCCCTCCATGGCTGGACTCACCCAGAGAGAGGGAGTTCAGGATGATGCCGGAGAAGGTCATGCCCATCAGAAACCGGAAGACGCAGTAGGTGCTGAAGGAGCCGAAGTACGCCGTGGCCGCCCCCGAAACCGCCAGCTGCAGGTATGACCAGACCAGGGGGGCCTTGCGGCCCAGCCTGAGCCCGGCATGGATACAGGGTTAGGGTTCCAGGGGTGGCAGCAGCATCCTCCACGGAGGTTGTGGAGGGAGGGTGAGAGGAAGTGACCCCCGCCCAAATCTGAATGCCACGTGTCCGTAATGGAAGCGCATTCGCTGGGACCCAGGCACTGGCAGAGCCAGGGAGGGAGAGGCGTGGGGTGGAGGAAAAGTGGGGGTGAAGAGATGTATTCCTGCCTTTGTTCTTTCACTCAGGGAGTAAGTACTTCTGGCTCCCTAGCAAGCCCCCACTCTCCCAGGGTTGGAGAAGGGCAGAGATGCTGCAAAGGCTGAGAGGCAGGTGCAGTGGGTCATGAGAGTTTCCACTGAGTGACTTTCTGGCAGGAGGGGGCCTCAAACCAGAGCTCACAGTGAGACAAGCCCTTGGTGGGGCCCAGGCTGCTGAGAGCAGGACCCCAGTGTCCAGGCTTCATTCGAACTGGTGATGTTGGGGAGACCAGGGTAGGGTGGGGGCTTGCTACAACATAGAGGGGTCCAAGGCCAGGGCAGCAGGGCCTTGGCACTGCCCCATTTGTGAGGGTCCAGGGCTGGAGCCCTGGCTTGGCCAGGTGGGCAGCATTTCTTCTTCAAACGCCCATTCATTCACTCATTCATTCACTCATTCATTTGTTCATTTCTTCTGTTACACAGATGTCCATCGATCACCCCCAAGTGGCAGGCCTGAGCTGGGGGCTGATGACAAGACATGATGGATAAGATACAGGCCCATGCAGGAAAGATAGATGTGTCATGACACGGGGTGACAGGACTGTGACAGAGCCTCCCACGAGGGGCCTGAGGCACGCAGCACAGTGTCTGGAGTCTGGGAGGGCCCCCTCAGAACCTGAACGGTGAGAGGAGGGGCTGCAAGGAGGGGAGAAGAGAGAGGGAGTGGGGAGGAGGTGGAGCAGGAAGGAAGGGAAAAGAGGACAGAGGAGGCGAGGGAGCCGAGGTGGTGCCGCCTTTCCTGGGCGTCTCTCTCCCCTTCGGGGCCATTGTGGTCAGTTCTGGCTCATCTGCACACTGGGATGCAGCCTGGACGTAGGGCTGGTGGGAAAGTTCTTTCTGAAGGAATATGCAGAGGCCAAGACTGAAGTAAAAGCCAAGTACAGAACCATGCCTGGGATGTGTCAGCATTTGTATAAAGAGGGAGGACAAAGTAAATGTACACATTTGCTTGCATTGTATAAAATAAAGTATCTCAGTGAGATACACAGAAACCAGGCTGCCCTCTAGAAACTACTGGTAGAAATGCTGCCTGCACACCCTCTTGCACTTTCTGGAATTTTGAACCATGTGAATGTATTATATGTATTATCTATTTTAAAATACACGAATAACCTTTAGTAGAGAAAAATTAATGAAGAGGCTCGGAAGGATAAGACCCTGATCCCCAAAGGCTCACCTGTCTGCAAGGCTGCCAAACACAGCGGCGCCCACCAGCACCCCGGCCATGTAGATGGACTGAGCCAGGTCGCGGAGGGTGCGGGCCTCACACACCAGATCCCACTGCAGGGGAGGGAGGGACGCTCCAGCCTCAGCCTCGGGCGCCAGCCCCCTGCGCCACCCCGGCCCCCTCTGACCTCCATCACGATGGTAGATGGGAAGATGCTGCGGTCGTAGACCCAGCCGTCCCTGCAGCCCTCCGTGGCCACCCTGTGGACGGAGGTGTTGGGGCTCAGGAGGGCCCACTGAGGTTCTGTGAAGCGCTGGCATGGCTCGGGGGACCCAAGCCGGTCCAGGGGCACTGTGGCCCTCAGCCAGGCCCCCGAGTCATTGGTGGCAGCCGCAGTGTGGTTGGCGGGGCTTCGGCAGTGGTGGGGGGGCACGGCGGCCGTGAAGTTCTGCAGGAAGTTGTGGCAGGCCAGCAGGCTGCAGGGCAGCAGCAGCAGGGCTGTGTAGACCAGCTGGAAGCGGCCCACGCCACCCAGGGCATCCAGCAGGTCTGTGAAGGCCATGGCCACGGGCCTGACCTGAGGCCCAGCCTGCGGGGCCTTATGTGAAGGGGCTGAGACAGGCCCAAGGAGGTGGAGAAACAGGCCCGGGGTAGGACCACAGATGCTCTGTGTCCGGCTACTCAGAGGGGTCAGGTTACACCTCACAGGAGGCCTCGGGTGTCCCCATGTCTGCAGGGGTCCCTCTCCTGCTGAGCCTTTTCTCCTCATTTCTCTGTCTCTCACCTCCCAAGTTAGAAGAGCAAGGGGTCCTAGAGAGCCACCTCACAGCCCACTGCCCAAGTCTGTAGGCCCAGCCACCCACTCCCCACCCTCAGCGGGAGGACCCCAGCAATAAATGCAGCATCATCCTCAGCCTCCTCTTTCCTCTGGAGGCCACTGTGAGTCCAATTCCAAGGCCAGTCCCTGTCACTGGGCTCCATTGAGGCTAGAGCCTTAAATGCTTGGAGGTCACACAAGGGGGTACCAGTGACTAGAGCTGCTTGCCTCTCCCCAACTTCCCTGAAAGTCAGGGGCTGCACAGAAGACACACAGAAAAAGGTCGTTTACAAATGTCCAAACAGGGCAACCAAGAGGAAGCCCTGCACTCCCTGCCTCCGCCCCAGGCACTCGTAGGCTGGGGGTTTGTGAGGCGGCAGGGCCTCGGCTCATCCGGACCTAGTGTCCAACCCTGTCATCAAAGAAAACCCAACACAGAGAACTAACAGGGTGAGGCCTTGTGCACCTGGCCCCCCACGCCTCCACCTGGCCCTCTCACCAACCAGCCCAAACTCCCAGGAAGCGATGGGCCGCTCCCTTTCCTCATGAGGATGCCGAGGCCCAGCTGGACCTGGCCCAGGGACTCCCAAAGGCAAAATGCACTCAGGACAGCCCACTCCAAGCCCTATGCCAGACAGCCTGCCACTTGGGGCTCCAACTGGGGGTCCCAGTGGTGGAGAGCAGCCCCACCCCCACCCCTGGGCTCCGTTAGCCTTTGCCCTGCAGATGCTGCCCTACTGTGTGGCTCACCCCTTCCCCCGCCCCATCGCCTCCTCCACCCCCACCTCAACCCACTCGTATCTCTGGTAAGAAGAGCTGGGATCCCAGAGGGGCTGGAGCAGCTTATATAAAATGCAGGTGTCTGGGTCACAGGGACAACTTCCCTCCCACACCCCCAGGAAGGCTTAAAGGAGGCTCTGTGCCCTGGGGAGCTCCCCAGGGGGTCAGGTTTGTGCTAAGTAAAGGTTTGAGTTTCAGCCAGAGCCTCCCAGGCAGTGTGCAGGGAAGGCAGGGGTCAGGCCTTTGGGCTTCGAAGGAGGCAGGCATGTAGGACCAGCAGGGCCACTTGGGACCTCAGCAACGTGGCCCTGCCCCTGCAGCGGGGCCCCATCCTTCCCTCCCAGTGCTCAGTACTCTAGCAGGGGTGCGAGCCTCCAGGGTGATGGAGAAGATGGAGCCAGGGCAGGGGCGGGTGTGAGGCCCTGGGGGGTCCCTGCAGAGCAAGGCTTGCTGTGCCCTCCCGGGCAGCAGGTTTAGATAGAAACACAATCCAGAGACAAGAGGTGGGGCCTTTCCCTTTATTAGTTGGGGTTTCTCTGCAGGCAACATGAGATACCCCCATGCCCAGGTGCCTCTAGCACCCCCACAACTGGTACATCAGTCCCTGAAGAGTCCCCTTTAAAATCACCAATATAAAAAAGGAGGGGGAGAGGGAAGGAAGGTCTGACCACCCCCTAGGCCAGGCCGCTCCTGGTTGGCAGGTGGGAGGAGGGCCAGAGAGGGGCACTGGCTTCTACACAGGAAGGAAAGGCGCCCCCAGTCCCAGGGAGGAAGCCCCAGCTGGGAGGGGGCTCCGCACGTCCAGACTGCAGACTGTGCAGAGCTAGTGGTTATAAAGTCTGCAGGTGAGGCCGGTGGGTGGACTGGATGGGTGGCCCGTGGAGGGAAAGGAGAGGAGGTCTCGAGGTCTGGGGCTGTCAGCTCCCCGGGGAGTCCCATCCTGAGGCAGGAACAAGCAAAAGCTGCCTTCCTGGTTTGGCGACCGGAGAGGCTGGGGGAGTCCATCGGAGCCCGTGGCCGGTGGAGGCAGGGAGAACCACAGCTCTGCCCAGAGCAGATGAACCGTGGTGGCTGGGAGGTGAGGGGACAGGAGGATGAGGCCACCTCCTGCTCCAAGGAAGGCACTTGCAGCTGCTGAGGCCTGGGGTGGCGTGGCGGGAAGGCATGGCTTGGCAGATGAGGAGAGCAGAGGAATAGAGCAAGGGGCCCGAGCCCCCGCCTCATGCAAACATGGTCAGCTGTAACCACTGTGGGCAAAGAGGATGGAGGGAGGGGTCAGCTGAGGGCAGAAACCCCAAGCCAGCCTCTCAGCTCCATGGCTCGGAGCTGTCGGCCTCTCACCCACTCTGAGGGTCAGTGGGAGAGGGACCCTCCTGGGGAGGGAGCCCCTCTCTGACCTCCTCTACCCAAGGGGGAGCCCAGGCTACTGGCTCCTGTAGAGGCCCCCAGGGGCCTGGCCCTCCCTTCCCAAAACCCAGACACCCCACTGCATCCTTGCAGGACTCAGGTGGCGGGCCTTTAGGGCTGGCTCTGAGGCTGCATGCTCCAACCTGGGAAGGTAAGAACACTCCACTACCCCTGAGTGCCCACCTCAACCCAGCCAAAGGACAGTCCCACCTTAAATAAGTCAAAGGTCACGACTCCATCCAGATCTGTGTCCAGAGTTTTGAAAAACCCTATGTGTTCAAGAAACAATGATGTGGGGCTAAGTCTCAGAGGGACAACCAGGCAGGGCCAGGACCTGCCCCACCTCCCGCCTCACCCCCCACCTCCCCACAGTACCTCAAGCTCTCACCCTCATAGCTGGGGAGCAGCCCTTCCTGCTGCCTTGGAGACCCCTCCTCAGTTACCTCCCATTCCCTGTCTCCTGGCACGCAGCCCGCTTGGACCCTCAATTGCCTGAGACCTTTGCCTCTTGGGCACATGTCACAGCACGAGACTGTACCTGTCATTTGCACAAGCTCACAGGGGCGAGTTTGGGACAGGGCTGGAGGTGGGAGCCGATGGGGACACTCACGGAACATGGTCTCCAACCGCACCAGGCAGCACACGAAGTTGTCGAAGTCCACGGCCAGGTCGGGCTCCGAGTAGCGGGTGATGATGAGCTCGTACAGCTTCTTGTTGAGCTTGAAGCCTGGCCCAGGAGAGCAGATGAGGCCAGGGAGGTGCAGCCGGAGGGGGTTGGGGGATGGAGAAGTGAGGGGTGCTGGGTGGGGGGAGGGAGCTTGAGGACGGGACAGCCCCAGGGAATCAGGAGTGGCCATCATGGCCCTAGGGTCCAATTTCATTTGTTCTGAGTGCCCTGGCCTCACGCTGACGTGGGACTGTGAGGATGGGCCCTGCACCCCTCTCACTGGACTTTGGTCCCACTCTTCCCTGGCTGTGTGGCTTCTGGCCAGTCACTTCCCCTCTCTGAGCTGCACTTTTCTCTGTGCTCAGTGGGATAATAAAAGAGCCTATCTTCCTTAGGTTGCAGTTAGGACAAAAGGAAATGCTGGTAAGGCTCTGGTTCAGTAACTGTGATAAAAGGGTTGTTACTGCTTCACCACCACTGCCATCACCCCTTAGGGACAAGGCCAGTGCCCCAGGTAGCTGTCAGGAAGTGACCTGGGGCTCCACCAGTACCACCAGTCCTCAGGCCTCACCTGCAGACTCGATGGCCATCCGCATCTCATAGGCACTCATGCTGCCCGACTTGTCCAAGTCAAACTTCCGGAAGATGGACTAGGGTGGGGAGCAGAGGGTGAGGGCTCAGCCCAGCATCCAGCCCATCCTGTCCGCCCCGGGTGGAGGGTTGTTGAGGGTGGAGGGGAGAGGCCTGAAGGGGGTCAGTCACTGGGATATACGGGCTCAAAGAGGTAGACCCAGGGCCAGGACCTAGTCCACACAGCCGGCCGGGAGCCTGAGGCCGCAGAGGCGGGGAGGGCACTGCCAGCAGGGACCACCTACCAGGTAATTCCGGATGCGGTTCCACAGGATGTTGAACTCCACCAGGCCCAGTTTCCCGTTGCCATCACGCTGGGCAGCCGTTAAGAAAGCAACTCCATAGCTTAAACCAGGCACAGGGTGAGAGTGAGCCCCAGGGAGAGGGGGAGACTGGCCGCAGAGAGAGCGAGATGAGGGGAAGGGAGGCGAGAAGGGGCAAGAGCCCGCGTGCTGCTGGCCCGTGGTGGGGCCTGAATTGGGGTGCAAATAGCACCTTAGGGTCACCTGTGGACCCAGGCGCTGCTCCACCTCTCACTTGACACAGGCTTGCGCCTCAGTTTCCCCTCCCCAATCAAGGGGAAGATGCCAGGAAGGAACTGGCCTGTCCAACTCGTCCCTTTCTCTCGCTGCTCCCGGGACGGGTCACTGAGTGCCCTTCCCACGCCCACCCCCCACCCCAAGCACCACTCAGGAGGCAGAAGCCAAGGGAGGATACGTCCATGAGGTTGACCATGCTGCGGCAGGACTCCAGGCTGAAGCCCTTGGTCCGCAGGTCTTTGTCTGCAAGGAAAACCAGTTCCAACATCTCAACCCTGCCAGCCTCCAGGCCCTGCCCTGTGTTGGGGGCACTGGGTGGGATGGGGGTTGGGGGGCACCATCCTGTTCCCTGGTGTGTAAAATTTAGCAGAGTAGATGTGTAGGATTGTTTTTATCATCAGAAAACAGTTTAAAGTATTTTAGCAATCAAGCCGGTGTCCCCACAGCCATGTCAACACAGTTAGAACAGAGTGAAATGAAACAGGCTCAACACACGGGAAAGAAACGCAGTTGAACATGCAGCAACAGTGGTCACGGCAGGGGTGGGGTTTGCTGCAGGCCCCGAAGGGTGGGAAGAGCAGGAGAGGGCTCTGGACTGAGGGAAGAGCACAGAGGTCAGAGGTCAGAGGTAGGAGGCGGGGGCAAAAGGAAGGTTGGGGAGTGGGTGCCTTCAGTTGGGCACATTCAGGGGTAAAGCCAGCCACCTTCCTGGGCCCCAGGGG